TCTAGTAAACAATGTGTAAATATTTTAAAAATTAGACACAATTGGATATATTAACATGGAATACAATGCTGCCTCTGTAACTATTAGTTGAGAAAGAGTACATCTGTGAATATCTTGCAGCTGGTTTCTTGAAGTAACCTGAACTATCTGTAAGGGGACAGAAGTATGATACCTTTGTATGTAGATCAAACCATTTTGGGGTCGATATAATGGCTTCAATCACTCTTTCCAACTCTGTGCATGCCAAAGTGTGTGCAAATACATCTAAGATGCTTCCTAAATCCTAATATAGCTTAGTTAAAGATTCTAGTTGTACACATATTACATGTAATCTTGTTGAAGGAGGTCAAAATTTTGCAGAATTGGAGTGTTCACACCTCCATGAATCTATAGATGCATACTAATTGAACCATGTGTTTTCAGAGACTCCACATGATTTTGCAAAAGGATCTGGAAATCCCCCTTGGCTTCGTTCATTACCACATGTGATAGTGGCAGCTCTTTCCTCATTCTTATTTGGCTACCACCTTGGGTATGCAACTATGCACCATTTATCAAGACTTAAGCAATTCTAATTCCACAAGGCCATTAACAAGTGCCTATTTCACTTTACAATTTCTTTACATTTCAATCTTGAATTCCAGGGTGGTTAATGACACGCTAGAAAGTATATCTCTGGACCTTAACTTTCATGGTGATACAATGGCCGAAGGTATGTTTTTTACAATTTACAATGAACTTTTTCTGTATCCTATATTCCTATTCCTTAACTAATGACTCCATAATTTTGCATAATGAAGGTTTGGTGGTAAGTACATGTTTAGGAGGTGCTTTTGTTGGGTCTACAGTCAGTGGATGGATTGCTGATGGGATTGGTCGTCGGAGGTCATTCCAAATGTGTGCTATACCAATGATAATTGGTGCTTCAGTGAGGTAGGTGTATATATTATTTTTGCTCTTAATCTTCCTAAAGTATCCTTCAAACTATAACTTTTATAATGTTGGCATTCCTAATGATATCAAAACTATAACTTGTAGTGCTACAGCAGATGGGCTTGGAGGTATGCTTTTTGGAAGGTTTCTTGTTGGAACTGCAATGGGTGTTTGTCCTCCTGTTGCAGCTTTGTACATTACAGAGGTATGAATTTTTTAATCAAATTCTTTTATCTGTCTTTTTACTGACTTATTATTATCAAAAGTTAGGTTTCACCAGCTTTTGTGAGAGGCACCTATGGGAGCTTCACTCAGATTGCAACATGTCTTGGACTTATAGCTTCTTTCTTCATTGGAATCCCTGCAAAGGACGTGCCTCGTTGGTAGGAAACATGATTTTATAATCATTTATACATTTTGATTAGTCAGTTGGATTTGTAATAAATAATAATCATTCTCTTGATTATGGGATTAGGTGGCGTGTGTGCTTTTGGGTGTCTACAGTTCCTGCAGCCTTGCTTGCTCTTCTGATGGAGTTTTGTGCAGAAAGTCCTCATTGGCTTATGAAGGTAAGGATTTCTCACCTCTTCTACTTTTGTTCACCATATTTATTAAAATAATCTTGGTATTTCTGTTGATCTTGATTTGATGGTTATATCACAAGACCAAATTATGGTGTTATGGAATAGAAACTGTAACCTCAGTCTTGTATGTTCATAGAATCTAAGGAAATAACCACATTTCTGAATTTAAGAAAGTTGCATTCATCAAGTAATATCTCACATAAGTTGAGGGACCAGTTATGTCATCATGGCATACTACATGGTATTAATTATAAATATACCACTAACAGAAAATTCTTTACAGAAATGGTCCAGAGGCCACAGAAAAGTAGATATATTCTCACAGAACATCCCTTTTAACCTTAGAGCATCTCCAATGCAAGCTTCTTTTTTTTTTTTTTTTTTTTTTTTTTTTTTTTTTTTTTTTTTGTTTATTTAATAGCTTTTTACTATTTGCTTAACCACTCAATATCACTAAACACCATTGGAGGGGATAGCTTTTTTATGTTTTTTTATTGATACTATAAAAGTTTGTCTATCTAACCCCTCCCTCTTTAATAATATTTTATTTTTCCCCTAAACTTTATTTTAGTTTAAATAATTTTATTTCATTAATAGATGTTTATTTCTATTAAATTTTACAAATGTTTGTATATTACAAACCATAGTAAAGTTTAATACAGATCATATTAACTGAAAATATGATGTATTAAAATGCAACTAATTAAAAGAAGGTGCTTTATGAAACATTTTATATAGATCAGGATCAATTAGTTAAACGAAAATTTGGTATCTTCTCAGTAACCTTCCCTATGTTGTCACAGTTGGTTGGAATAAATGTCACTTTACAAATAAAATCGGATGTAATGAGTTTTAAGGATGGTATATTGGCAAATAATTTTGGGACATGTAAAGCAGAATTAAGGGTTATCTTTTTAATAAGTTTACGGAAGCAATCGATAAAATCTGAAATGTGCCTTGATCTTGATATTTTGCTGTTGTTTAGCTATAGAGACTGTATTTACACATAATTTATTTCTAAACAATTCTACATCATTTTTTTTTTTCGGCCATTGCCCTAATTTAGAGAGGAAGAAGTGCGGAAGCTGAAGCGGAATTCGGGAGGCTTCTAGGAGGTCTACACGTAAAATCATCAATGGCAGAATTATCCAAAACAGACAGAGGAGATGAAGTAGAATCAGTAAAACTTTCAGAGTTGTTTTATGGACGTCATTTCAGAGGTATAAATATTATATTACCACATCCACATCCACCACACTTTTTCTCCCAATCGAAATAAAGATTTCAATTTAATAATATTAGAAAAAAAAAAATTACTTTTCTTACCATTCTCCAGTGGTTTTCATCGGGTCTGCTCTGCTGGCACTGCAACAACTATCTGGAATAAATGCTGTTTTCTATTTCTCTTCAACCGTCTTCAAAAGTGCTGGAGTACCTTCAGATGTCGCAAACATGTCTGTTGGAGTAGTCAACTTATCAGGTTATATATTGTTCTTCATCAACAATCTGTTCCTGTTCATCACTCTTTTTTTTTTTTTTATATATTTTGGTTATTTTAATACTTTTCAGGGTCAATTATTGCAATGATTTTAATGGATAAACTCGGCAGAAAAGGTCTTCTTCTTGGAAGTTTCATGGGCATGGTATATCTATGTCTTAACGGACTGTTTTTTTTTTTTTTTTTTTCTTTCTTTCCATTAAGCCCTCTATGAATAGAGTGACTGAATGGGTAAAGTAAGTAAATGACCATTTTACCCATACACCCCAATAAACAATTTTCACAATGTTGGTCAATTTTATCAATTAAAATATCAACATTTGACTATTTCCAACCTCGAATTTGACAATGTTTTTATTATTTTGATTGATTCAGGCAATGTCAATGGGTATGCAAGCAGTTGCAGGAAGTTCCTTGGTTTCAGGGTCTTCAGTGGTGTTACTCTCTGTTGGTGGTGTTCTACTGTGAGTGAAATAATAAAAGAATCAAAGAATAAAATAATAAGGAAAGAAAAACAAAGAACAAAAAGGGAACTTATCCATAAGTTGATTTAAATGAAAATTACATTCTTGGTCCCTGAATATAGCTGCTTTTTGCAATATTGGTCCCAAAAGGTTCTATTGCAATTTCTGTCGTTTTTATGATGCAGCATTTTTGGTCCTTGTTTCAAGTAATATGTCTATTTTTAGTCCCTGGATATAGCTGATTTTTTCAAAATATAATCATTTTACTTGGAAGGGACCAAAATACTACAAAAACCTCAAATAAGAACCAAAATTTTGGGACGAAAATTGAAAAGTTCAACTATACTCAGGGACTAAAAATGTAACTTACTCTTGCTTTAAATCCAGGTTTGTTTTATCATTTGCCATGGGTGTTGGGCCGGTACCTGGGCTCCTGTTATCAGAAATATTTCCAAGCCGAATCAGAGCAAAAGCCATGGCAATCTGCATGGCTGTACATTGGGTAAATCCCTAGTTTATTATATTTAATTTTATAGTATATCTTTCGTACATGGTTTAGAATTCTACATTTTTGTTATTTTCCATTTGTTACAGGTTATAAATTTCTTTGTTGGTTTGCTATTTTTGCGGATGCTGGAGAGGCTTGGGCCATTGATTCTATACACAGCCTTCGCAAGTTTTTGTTTAGTGGGATTTTTGTTTGTGAGGAAAAACGTTGTGGAAACAAAAGGAAAAACATTGCAAGAGATTGAGATGGCACTTCTTCCATCAGCTGAGTTAATATATTGAAAATTAATCCTTTTTGTTTAATCATACCACGTGAGGCTATAAACAATTAATTACTAGTGAGCTTGTTTTCAACTAAATTTTTATAAGAGTCCAACTATGAGGAACACCAATGTAGGAATGTTCTAGTGGTTAATTATTGTTAGGTTATTTTATATTTTGCTTTGTATATAACACGAGAAAATTCATGTTAAGACCACACTACTTTATTACTTGTATCTTGGTTTTGGGAAATTTTCTTTTGGCCATCAAATTTAAACAATAACAATAAGTCCCATATGAATGTGGTACGTCGGAAGTCAGATGTAGATGCTGTGTAGGAAGACTGCCTTCATTGATGACATTTCACACGTAGAAGAAAAAACTTTTAATGTGAACATGCATGGTTGTCCCACAAAGAAGAATAAACAGTGGGTATATGTTAGGATCGAAGAATCCATGATAAAGATGCGAAGAAAATATAAAACACAAAGATTTAACATGATTCCTGCTCTTCCCATTAAAAGTTCATCATCTATCTTCCCAAGATTAGCATGAACAATTTTCAATTCTTGTTTCAACAATTTGACATTTCGAGTCTTCTCAGCAGTAACATCCATCAACTTTGCTTCACCTTCATAATTCTTAGCCAGAGTAAGAATAGAACTGGATACCAAAGTATGGTGACCAACATTGTTTTTCTGAAGTAAATAATGAAGATCTTGATTCTTTTTTAAGATAAAATTGAGAATCTCCTTAATTAACATCATTTATAATTGCATCTAGCTTCTTGTTCAGAGACTCAATGACTTCCTTCAAAATAACATCTACTTTGGCAGTAGCCTGTTTGACTTCCTTAAATGCAGCATCAACCTTCACAGTTGTATCAGAAATCAACTTCGCAGATGTTTCAAAAAGAGCTTTCTCAGTCTCCATGTGAGCTTGCTGCATATAGTCAAACTTTGATGTAGAGAAAACTTGAGTATGGCGAACTAAGAGATTAAGCTTTCTGCTCAGCGCCTTGTAATCTCTCTTAGTCATGGGATCATTTGCATGTTCCTCATCAAAATCACTTTTATCATCAATCAGAGGAGATTCCAATACAAGAGCAACAAATTCTTCAAATGAACCAGAGATTTTCGGATCATCATCGACCATAAAATCATCATCAGAAACAGATGGAGAAGCCACATTTCCCAATGGAGTAGTAGCAATATCTTCAGTTACAGGTGGTTCTGAAAAGCTTGGTGGAACTTCATAAGATATTGGTTCAGAAGTTGGAATATCTGTGGTAGATGTGGTTTGAGGGTGTGAAACAGATGGATTTGTAACGGAATCTCATAATAATATGTATAGGGAAAGGTGTCCTTAAAAGATAAGATTTATGTTAATCTTCTTGCATCGGGGGAGAGTTGTGTTTGAGTATGAGTTGTGGTATCTCGAGAACGGTGCTAATAACCATATAACGGGATACGGCTCAAAATTCCATGAGTTTGATGAAAATGTTACGAGTCACGTGCGATTTGATGACAGTTCCACTGTTGCTCTTATAGGAAAAGGATCGATTGTATTCAATTGTATAAATAGCAACCAAAAACTTCTAAATGAAGTAAATTACATTCCAAGTCATAAAAATATCATCATTAGTCTTTGAAAAATGATGGAAGAAGGAATTCGAGTCATTATGCCCCTCATACCTCCTCTAGGGAATATACCCTAAAAACACAATTACTAAAGATTCAGATGAAGGGCGACGAAACACCCTCAACATATCTCGATCGGGCAAAGGAGTATGCTGAGGCTTTGGCTAATATCGGTGAATCCTTCAAAGAAAAAGACCTCGTTATGCTTGTTATTGCAGGTCTTCGTGACAACTACAATTGACTAAAGTGAACTCTTCTTGCTCGACAAGTTCCTACAGCGTTCAATGAATTGCATGGGCTTCTTTCTGATCATGATTACATGATAAAACAGTCGGTTCCTGCTGTCCCACCACCACAGGTTTGTCACACTAATGTTACTGGAACGACTTGTCTAACAAGCTCCTTACAACAGGACTCCATGCAAGCTTTAACTCAACTTGTTTCTCAACTTGGCTTCAAACTACAACCTGCCAATCAACAATCTCAAGCATTTTTCACCTCTCACAACAACCGTGGTCGTGGTCGCTTCCCCAACAACCGTGGGCAAGGCCATACTTCAAACAATCGGAACAGTTGAGGACAATTTACTTGGGCTTCTAATAAGAACACCGTCTATCATACATGCAATCGGTGTGGCATTGGCCACCTTCCATCAGATTGCCCTAATCGTGATCCTGCTACCTTCCGGAACCGACAGCCACCTTCAGCTAATCATGCCGATTATCGCTCACACTCACAAACTCCTTGGCTTCTTGATACCGGCTCTAACAGTCATGTAGCACCAGATCACTCTAGCATCGGCACTGCTGAACCATAGTATAGTGATGACTCCCTCCATGTTGGCAATGGTAATGGCTTACCTATTTTACATATTGGTTCTACTAAGTTTTATTCTCCGAAGAAAACTTTTTCCTTAATCAATATTCTTCATGTTCCACAAATCAAACGTCATCTTCTTTCTGTTCAACAATTTTGTCACCTTCTCTGATGGGCATAATTAATTTTGCTTTGTGTTGATCATTTTACTTGTTACATGTGGATCTTTCCTTTAAAACAAAAATATGATGTTTATGCCAATTTTAAACACTTTCTTGCTATAGTTGGACGACACTTTAACACCAAACTCAAATCTGTTCAAACAGATTGGGGTGGAGAATTTCGAAATCTTCCACAATTCTTCTCTCCCCTTGGCATCATTCATCATCGTTCATGTCCACACACAAGTGAGCAAAATTTGCTCACTGTACTTGCTCAATCTGGAATGCCTTCTCGTTTTTGGCATTTTGCATATGACACATCGGTTTATTTAATAAACTGCATGCCCTCTCGTACCTCCTCAAATGTGTCACATTTTGAACATGCCTTTTCTCACAAACCGGATTAGTCCTTCTTACGTGTTTTTTGGTTGCTTGTGTTATCCTCATCTTCGTCCATACAATACCCATAGAATGGATTTTCGTTCTCTCTCTCTCTCTCTCTCTCTCTCTCTCTCTCTCTCTTGTGTTTTTCTTGGGCACAACGCTGATCATCACGGTTACAGATGTCTCGATCCTACAACCGGTCGCATCTACATAGCTTCTCATGTACGGTTTGTTGAGCAACAATTTCCATTTTTACAACCATTACCCATTCCGCCTACCACTCCTTCTCTTGATCCATACATCTCGAGTTATCCTACAATTATTCCCCCTTCGGATAACCCCATCGATACTGCCACACCGCCTACACCCCCTATTATACTCACTGAAACTCCCTCCACTAGCTCCTTATCTTCTGCGGTTCTTAACAACAAACCAACCTCTAGCACCGAATCGGCTCCACCAACTCCTACACAATCCACCATTCCTGTTTTTGTGCAGCCCGAGCCATCCACTCGTGTCCGACCATCCTATCTTCGACAGAACCCAAAACAACGGTTCCCTTATGACCCGCATGCCTATTCTACCTCCACAAACTCTTCTGATACTGAGCCTACAACCTTTGCCATTGCCAACAAATCACCCAAGTGGCAAGCTGCCATTGCTGAAGAATATGCTGCTCTCAAACGAAATAACACCTGGTCTCTTGTTCCGCTAGTTCCCAATGCAAATGTGGTTGACTGTAAATGGGTGCACAAACTTAAAAATGATCAAAATAGTAAGGTCACTCGCTAAAAAGCACGTTTGGTAGAAAATGGGTTTAAGCAACAACATGGTATAGATCACTATGAAACATTTAGTCCTGTTGTGAAATCTACAACTATTCGCACGGTTCCTTGTCTTGCTGTTACACAGAAATGGACGTTGCGCCAATTGGATGCTCAAAATGCCTTCTTGCATGGTGAACTCAATGAGACAGTTTACTTACGTCAACCACCAGGTTTTATTCATCCTACGAAACCTAATCATCTTTGTCTACTTCACAAATCTCTCTATGATCTGAAGTAGGCACCTCGTGCATGGTTTCATCGATTAACTAAGGCCTTACATTAAATTAGGGTTAAAATAAATGAGTTTGTATAGTGATTAACCTAATAATAATGGATTGAAGGCGTCATGGGTGGTAGTTAAAATTGACAAATCTAGCCCCGGTAAGTGTGTGAGTCAAAAATTGCCCTCCAAGAAAATCCCAAGCCAACTCCCACTGCTAGAGCACTATTGACTGCTCAAGTAGTACTAGTTACTTAAGCAATGCAATCTACTTAAAGCATAAGTAATCATCCTGCTCATGCGGACTCCAAGCTTCAACAACTGCTCCACACATAAGCAACTTAGCCTCGACACTTAACAAATGAATATTGAAAAAAAAAAAGATGCGAAGAAATTCAAGTCCAAATTAAAAGGGAAAGATAAATTTAACTAAAAACACATAAAAAGATGCATGTGAAAAGATTTGATAACCCTCACATAAGTCACCAGCATCGTTTTTTTAATGTTTCTTAGTTTAGTCTACTTGTTGAACTTATTTTTATTTGAGTTGTGGTTTAGACATTTGTCAACACTTATGTTGGACAATTTTTCGATCATGGTTATTATTTTTTGTATTTGAATTGCAAAACAGGATTTGATTATTGTGTTCAATTATTTCTGCATTTTTGGCAAAAAAAAAATGTTGATTATCTCGTATTTTCTCTGCATTCTAAACGGAAAAAGTTGTTACTAAATGATTTTGTTGGAAACAGTCAAAAGTTACATCCTTCGGACAAAGCATATATTGGTGGTCCATTGGAACCAGTCAAAGCTGACATCGTTCGGTATTTGGATGGAAATGTCATGTAAATATTTCCATCGGAAATGTGTAGGTAATTATCCAGGTAACCTGTCAAAGGATCCATCACAAATCTTTACCCACGCCTTACTTTGAGATGGTTTTTCTATCGAAATTTTCTTCGTAGTAGGCATTTCGACAGTATTGGCTGTCAGATATTTCACCCTTTTTCTAGTAGTGTACTAGACTAGAGTAAAGTAAAAAGATTTGTCTTCCTACTAGGCTCCTTTCCTTGTAGTGTCTATTACTAGCAACCAAAACAATGCATATTGCTATTGGCCACTTGTAGTTATCACTAGCCATGGCTTCAAATACTACCGATAACATGGCTCGAAATTAACTCTGCATTTAATCCTTGTGCAAGAAATAGAACCACAAAATGAAAAAGAAAATTGTTTGGAAAGATATAAACCAAATTATCTGGTAGTAAAGAAAACAAGTCATAAGAAAAACGTTCAAGGTTAACCAAGTTCACATAATATTTTCCTATGTTTTAAAATTAAAATACCCCATATCCATAGCAATACATGCACCTCATTTCCGGATGACTTTAGCACGTCTCATATATTTTTTAGCATTCAGTATGCTAAACTCAGATGGATTCACGTTCATAACGCATACAGAAGTCCCAGATTCAACTTGCTCAGCCTGAGGTAAACCAGCACCATTGATTATGTTAAATTCTTCACGCGATTGATCCACGATAGACCCTGAAGCAGGTAGCACTTTTTCATCTATCCCAGACGAGATTTGACCATTTGACACAGATACTGCTGCATCTTTGGCTGCAGCTTTAGATGATGTATGTGTGGTTACCCCTGAATTAAAGAGACGAGGCAACAGCAATGCAGCCATGGATTTATTATCAGCTGGAGGGGAATTCTCCCTGATACTCTTTTCAACACAACCAGAAGCTATCTCTATGCTGTTTAAAGTAGCAATGGTGGGCTGAACCAATTGAACACTATTCACCCCATGTGTTGATCTTGATCTGTTCTCTTCTGTTAAACGCCTCTGACTCCTATCCAAGAACTTCGAAACCTCCCTTCCACAATCATCTTGAATGGTCTGTCTCTTCCTTTTATTTCCACATGAGAGAAGAGAATCCTGAAATCACAAAAAGCGAAATGAACATAAAAGTTGGACCATGATATTTGATAGTAGAGTATCAATGACCGATTACAAAGAAAACCGTAAACTATTGGGTGTTGGATAGGTATGATTTTTTGTGAATTTCGATAATTGCATAAACCCTTTTAAGCATGAGGATGAGAAGAATAGAATGAACAGAAACGATACCTTTTCTGTTTCCGACCTGTTCTCCTCAGGTGCCAGCTGAGAAAATGGTGCAACCTTTTGGCTTCCAGAAGTGCTTCCACACAAAATAATCTCAGCTGAAGACTTTTTATGCTTCTTCATCACCTGCAAATCTTCTTCATCAGTTCTTGTTTTTCTCAACTGACGTTTGGAACCAAACTCTGAATCTTTGCGACAAGAGTCTGCAGGCACAGGCTTCATCCTTTTAGCTCGAACAAATGATCTTTCTCGGTCTTTACATGACCTCTTTCTCTTCTTCGATGCAACGCCAGTCTTAGAATTAACTCGGGCGCCCTTTTTCTTTCTGACAAATGTGTCCAACGTGAATTCATCAGAATCATCTTCTTCACTTTCGCTAGAAAAATCACTGTCACTATAGCCAGCACTCACAGCATCACAAGGACCTTGAAGCTGCTTATATATGTCTGTCAACAGGCGGAATTTCCGAGGTTTCTCTCCTTCCAAGTTCCTTTCTTCATCACTGTTAGTATTAGCCCCATCATCAACAACAACTAAACGCTTTTCATTTCCAGCAGCTATAATGTCTTCACATACACTGTTCTCATTTTGGTACTGACCATTATCCTTCAGTTTGAGAGAAGATGACTTTGAGGGTCCGTCATTAGTATCTTTTAGTGAATCATCAACGCCTACCCCATCTTCTGGCTTATCATTTTTGTGCTGAACAACATTCTTCAGTTTGCGAGAAGATGACTTTGAGGCTCCGAAAGCTATAATATTTTTTAGTGAATGATCAACAACTACCACATCTTCTGGCTTACCATTTTCTGCAGCCACCATATCTCCGTAGATGACTTTTTTATTCTCGCAGTGAGCATAAGTTACCTTGCCAGAAGCTGACTCCAAAGGTGCATCATTGATAATACTGGTTGTATCATTGCCAATAACCACACCTGCAAAAACGAACATACTTTCTGAATTTGAAAGCTTCGAAGGACTGATAGACCTCACAAAGATCAAAGCATCATCCAGAACTTGGATGACATGATATTTGTTCCGAAGAATTCTATCAAATTAAGGTTTACATACATTTGGAAATGATACCTGCATGGGTTTCTGAAACGGCAGCTTGTCCCTCTGGATTTCTGATTTCAAAATATATCAAAGCTGGGAACAATATAAGCATCAAAGAATTAATAGCTGATCAGATCTAGGTTTTAAATTCTAGAGTACTATACTAATTTCCATCACTTACAGTTCGTAGCTTGTGTATTTTCTGGAATATTAATCAAAGCATCATTGTCCTCTAGAATTAGTGAAGCAAACACCCTTTCTGCTTGAAATGTAGATTCTGGAGAGTAACTAGACAGGTCAAAGGGACAACATTTCTTCCAATCTTTTCTCCGAACCTCAGCAACGTACTGACTGCATTTGGCATTGAATTCAATAAAAGATAAAAGGTTAAATCTGT